CCTCGCGCGGCACAATTGAGGCCGCCTTCAGGCGCCAGTCCCTAGTCTACCATCCAGACAGGACTCCCGCGCACCTGGGCGCCGACGAGCGAGCAGCCCGCGCGCTGAAGTGGAAGCAGCTCTGTGACGCCAAGTCAGTGTTGCTCCAGGCCGTCTCGCAGGCCGCCGCGCCGCCCGATGTTCCTAGCACGGGCGGCGACGGTCCTGCCGCCCGCGCCTACGCCCGGGCCAAGGCGGCAGGAAAGGGCGCCCGCAAGGGCAAGCTGGCTCCAGGGTCGACCATGGCCCTTCAGGCGCTCGAAGAGGCGGTCTCCTCGCGGGTCGCCCTTGCGAGCGCCGAGCTGGCCCCTCGGGCTGCCCTCCCCGCCTCGGGCGCGCCTCTCCCGAGGGGCGGGGTTTCGTCTGCCCTCGCGACGCGGGCGGCTGAGTCGGATGCCACCCTCGTCTCCGCCGTGTCGCGCGGCCGCGTGGAGCTCGACGCACTCCGCACCGCGCGTGCCGACGCCACCAGGCGCACGGTGCAGGCTCCTGCACGCGGCGAAGGAGAGCGCGCCGTCGCTCGTGCCGAGCTCGCGGAAGGGATGGCCGATCGCGCCTACTTCCGACGCGTGCGCGAGGCCGCCAGTCGAGAGGCCGCGGGCTTGCCGCGCACTGCTCCCGTCCAGCTGGGTCGGGATTGGCGCAAAACCTTGCGCGCCGTCCTGCGCAACGCTGAGGTCTCGACGGGCCTCGCCATCGCAGAACGTGCCGCTCGTGCTGGGGACGCACCCGCGTCGTCCACTGGCCGCTCCTTGGCCGAGGTGGAGGCTGAGGACCCGCGCGCCTTGGCAAGGCCCGCCGACGACCCTGCGTCCAGCTTCAGCCGTCGTGAGCGGCGCGCGGTCCGCGCCCGCCTGGGCCCGCGGGATGAAGCGGTCGAGGACCAGCCCAACCGCGGTGGTCACGCGCCGCACTCCGCCTCGCGCACGGGCGCCGCGCGCACCAGGCGCGCCGCCAGGCAGCGGCGGGCTTCGATGGCGGCGCTCCCCGCCCCTGAGGGGGGGGCCGCCACGGCGCCTGGCCGCAGGGCGCGTCGCACTGCCAATGCGCGCCGCTGGGCAGGCGCGGCACGCCCCAGCTCCGCCGCGGGAGTGGGCTCCCCACCGCGGAGCCGCAGCCCTGCCCGCAGCCGTACGCGGTCTCCAAACCCGTACGGGACCGACCGCACCTCTCCCTCGGGGGGCTGCTCGTCGCCTCCCGTCGACGGCCCGATCTCGCCCGAGGAGCCGTCGGAGCCGCCTGCGGGGGAGGCATCGGAGGGCCCGCACACTCCTGACGGGTCCCCGCCCGCGAGCGTTCGCAGCCGCTCGAGAGCGGAGCCCGCGTGCGACGAGGACTCTCCGACGGAGCTCGAGGACGTCGTGCTGAGTGCCCTCGCAGACTCCTCGATGGACCTCGAGCGCGTCGTGGCGGGCCTGAACCCCGAGGTCCTCCGCCGCCTGCAGGCGGCTTTCCCTCGCCGCTCGGGGGCCTCTCCGCCCGCCGCTCGGGCCTCGGCTCGCAGTCGCTCTCGGGGCCGCGGCACGCGTCTAGGCTCCGAGACTCCGCGGCCCGTGCCCCCGCCGCCGCCGCCGCCCCCTCACCACTCTGGTGGGCGTGCGGCGTCGCGATCCCGCGCGTCGACCGCAGGCCAGGGGCTTAGTCGGGCCGTCGCGCGCGGCTCCTCTCGCGCGCCTTCGCGTCAGGCGACGTCGCCTCGGCGTCGCGAGGTGCGCTCCCCTCGAGTCGCTCCGAAGCGGCGCCCGAGCCCCGCTACTGCGCAGCGGCCAGCCACGTCCCGCCATGTGCGAGCTCGGGCGACGCCCACGCAGGCAGCTCCCGCGCGGACTCCGCTGCTCAGGCCCCTCCGTCTTCGGTAGGCACGCGCTCCTCCAGCGATGCTGTTGCGGCCCCGCAGGGCGGAGGGCGTGCCGCCGAGGAAAGGGGGTCTTCGAGCGGCCCCGCGCCTGGCCGAGATTCAGGGCACGAGCTGCATCCCAGCGGCCCCCACAGCGGCGACGCTGGGAGCGCCGCGGCTGCAGCCTTCGCAGCGCGGCGCACGGCCTCCGCGGCCGTTGAGCAGCCCTTGCCTCCAGGGGCCGCCACCGCCCTAGCGTGGCGTCTCAACCTCGGCGGTGAGAAGGTCACAGTGGTGAGGTGGGGACCCGCCTGGCAAGCTGCCTTCCAGAGCGCGGCGTCGTGGCTGAGGTCTTTCGCACCCGCAGGGGCCGCCGAGCCCGAGGGCAGAGATGACCTGCACTGCCTCCTGCAGGCCTTGCACGCCTATAAGCGCCTGTTTCAGACAGGCGGCGCCGAGCCGATCGACGAAGCCTCGTGGTTGCATCCTTACGTGGCCGCCGTCGAGCCCGAGGCTATCCCCGCGGGCGCTGACCTCCAAGCCATGGGGGCGGGCGCCATCCGTGGCATCGGGCTCGGCTCAAAGATCGAGCACAGGAGGCGCGCGGGCAAGTTGGCCTGCCTTTTCGACCTTCTGTACCACGTGCAGGACGGTCACGGCGCCATCCCAGCAGCGCTGTGGGGATCTCATTCCCCTCCGTCCGAGATCCTCGACGCGTTCGCGGAGGTGGTGCCCGTTCCACATCATTCGGGCCTCACGTCCTCGGCAGCTCGTTCCGAGCTCGCCGAATCGGCCGCAGCTGCGCGCGCCGAGCCGCGCCCGCCCTTTGACTGGGCGACCCTCGAGGGAGGGGACGCTCTGCCCGCCGACATCGAAGCAGGGGCTCGCCGTGCTCACCGTAACATGGGCGGATCCTTCACCTCGGCGCGGGCGATGCTGGCGGAGGCGTCGGGGTTCGAGACCGACGGGCGGGACACCCTCGTTCCGCCCTTCTACGCGTCCAGGAGCAGGAGGGCCGCCACGCTGATCAGCTCTCCCAGCCCTGGCCGCCCTGCGCTCATCCTGTGGTGCGTCTGCGGCCTCTGCATCTCTCTGGGAGCAGCGGCGCCGACCGCAGGCCAAGGGCTTAGTAGGGCTGCGCCTTCTGCGCCCGCTCGCCCTCCGCGCACTCCCTTCGTGCGCGATTCTCACCTCACCTCCGCGTATCTCGATCGTCGCTCGAGATCGATTGATGCGTTCGAACTGTGGTTAGCAGAACACACTGGCGTGCCGCCCGCCACTCTTTACCGTAGCGGGCTACTTCTCGCCCGCTTCCTCGCGACCTTCGGCGTGTGGCTTCATGATGCAGGTTTCCCTCATTATATTCTGGTTCATGCCATCTTGGGAATCCAGAGCGCTCATCCGCATTGGAAGGCCTTTCTAACAGAAGCTTGGGACGTAGCGAGACAATGGAAGCTCGCGGAGCCGCCAAAGCTCCGCCCGCCCTTACCTCGCGCTCTGCTGCGCGCTATGGTCGGTCTCTGTTTCGCCTGGGACTGGCCTGTGATGGCGGCCTTGCTGCTCATGGGCTTTACGATGTTCCTCAGGCCTGGCGAGCTGCTGGCGTCACGCCGCTGTGACTTGTCGCTTCCTTGCGACCGCCTCGAAGTTGAAGGGGATGCTTTTCTTTCGATTCTTGTTCCCAAGACCAGGAGAACGTACCCGACGCAGCATGCTCGCTGCTCCGATCGGGGCACGGTGAAGATTCTGAATCAAGTGTTTGGGCGGTTGGCTTCCACCGATCCTCTCGCCCCTTTCGGTGCGAGCGGCTTCCGTACTCGGTGGAATCATTTGCTTTCGGCCCTGGGCGTCCCTCTTGCCAAAGCGGGTCAGGGGCTCAACCTGACGCCCGCATGTCTGCGGGGCTCTGGCGCAACAGACTTCTATATCGCTACGGAAGACGTCCCTCGCGTCTTCTGGCGGGGGCGTTGGCGTCAGGCTTCCAGTGCTGAGCGCTACCTGCAAGCCGCCGCCGCTTCCACAGTTCTTGCTGCGCTGCCCGTGCCCGCACGGGCGCGGATCCTGTTCTTCGCCACCGCCAGCGACCGCCTTGTCGCTTCATTTCTCCAAGTCGGCCCCGCCGCTTGGCCTGCCCTACTTGCGGCCGCCCGCCGAAACCTTGTCACTTCGCAAGGTCCTTGAGCACGGGTATGGCTGCCTCGCCGTCGTCGGCGAGCAGGCGGTCTCCCCCGCCTGACGCGCGGCGCCCCGGCACGAGCGCGCGGGACGGGCCTGCCCATTTTGGGCCGCCCCGCGCGCGCGAGCCGCGGCCGCGCTCGGAGACAGCTCGCTAGCGCGCGAGCGGGAGAATGCCTCTTCTATTCTCTGTGAGCAAGCTCCTGCTGTCTCCGCAGCTTCTCTGCCCCCCTCCCTCCTCTCCCAATCTAAGGCTGATGGGCGCTGCCTCGCCGTCGTCGGCGAGCAGGCGGTCTCCCCCGCCTGACGCGCGGCGCCCCGGCACGAGCGCGCGGGACGGGCCTGCCCATTTTGGGCCGCCCCGCGCGCGCGAGCCGCGGCCGCGCTCGGAGACAGCTCGCTAGCGCGCGAGCGGGAGATCATCAATCATCATCATCATCATCACATCATCATCATCATCAGTATCATCATCATCATCATCATCATCATCAAGCCTCCTCCTCCTCCTCCTCCTCCTCCTCCTCCTCCTCCTCCTCCTCCTTCTCCTCTTCCTCCTGCTCCTCCTCCACCTCCTCCTCCTCCTGTCGCATGCAACGATCGACAAGCCACACACACACACACACACCAAACGAGCGGGTAGGGCGAGCGGGCCCTGTCGGGCGGGCCTGGCTGGGGGGGGTGGGCTGGCAACCAAAGCCAGCGGGCGCACCCTTCCCAGCTGGTCGGGCGGAGGACCTGAACGGGCGGGGCGGGCGGGCGGACCCTTGCTGGCGGGACGACCAGGCGAAGACGACCAGGCGAAGCCGACCAGGTCAAGACGGGGCCGAAGACGACCGGGCAAAGACGACCGCGGCGAAGACGGCCGCGTCGGAAACGACCGCTGGCAAAGACGACCTGGCCCCCCGATGCGGCCCAAGGAGCTTCAAGAGCCCTTCAGGATGTCGCACCGATTTCGGCTCAAACAGTTTCGGCTCCGGCGAACCTCTCGACCCGACTTTGCTTTCGGGTGTCGCCGGAGGTGACCTCGGCCCAAGGTGACCCCAACCACTGCATGGAGCCCCAGATGATTGGCCTCCGGAGCACCCTGCGCGCGAGGCCCAGGGGCTCCCAGGAGCCCCGAAATGGCGTGAAAAGTTGGGTGCACCTTCGGCGGTGACCACCCCTGGCAACCTCCGATTTTTGTGCTGCCGCCTGTCGGAGGACGCCAATTGCACGACTTTCTGGCCAGGCGCATCCTGGGCCAAGGACCTGTGTATGCGCCGTCCTGGCCAGATGGGCCTGCACAGGATCTGCCTCGACGGAGGATCGGCGCAGGTGTGGTTGGCGTCCTCCCAGTCTGCTGCCGGCCCAGCGTCGCACTCGGACGCAGCACTCAGGATGTCGCTTGGAGGCGCTGCTGCTTCCAGCCCCGCGGCGCTCCCTGGCTCTGCCAGCGTGGGCGCCCTGCGCGCTGAGCCCGTGCTCGCGGCAGCGGTGAGCGGCATATGCGACGGGCTGGAGGAGGGCGCCGAGGACAGGGGAACGAAGAATGACAGAAGCATAAAAAACTCGGAGGTCCGCGCGGATTTCCCGGATCGGCACTGGAGCCCCCTGGCGGCGCCTCCGGCGCCGCCCCTGGCGCGCTCCGCGCGCCAGGGAGGGGGCTCCAGGGCCGATCCGGGAAGTCCGCGCGGACCTCCGAGTTTTTATGCTTATGTCATTCTTCATTCCCCTAGAGAAGACAGAAAGAGGTCCTGAGGGAAACGCCACCAGTTTTTTGTAG